TAGAGCGTAAATTCGCATAAAGCTAGATTTTCACGATGGTCGATGGAGCTCAATTGGTTCATCTAAAAAAGTGATATATGCATCTTAAAGTTGACATACGTGGGACTTACTATGTCATGCTGAAATCGGATTGAGACAGAGAACCACGCGAACTGCTATCATCCATGTCAGACACTAAAATTTTCACATAAGCTTGGCCATCCTATCACAAATAGAGTAAACACCGTACCATTTAACTTGCTTACTAGCAAATAATCAGCTTATTGGTGCTTCGATGAAACTTTGAACAAATTCAGTCAACACTTAATATTCCAGTTAACGCGCAGACAATGTAATTTAGTCAATCGAGGTGAATCAGAAAACCTTTCAACTAGACCGTGATTGGTCACTGAACCCCATCAATCCTACTTTACGACGTATCTACACTTACTTCAAGGCTGAACCTTTCGCTAAACTGTGAAAGAGAACTGTAAGAAGATATGAGCTCATTGCTGTAACAAAAGCGGTTGTAATTCAAATGCTAGTGAGCGAAACGTTAAGCATAAAAATCGCATAGCAGGGGCTTAAATAATTGCAGATATCAATTGAAGCGATTCTGAAGATGCGGAAATTTGCTCTGGTTTTCGATATGTCTAAGTATTAGTAACAAAAATGAGTATGTTTTTGACAGTGTACACACCATTGCCATCAGCGTGACGAGATGAATGTTGGGGTACGCAAGGAGGTCCCATAAGATCCGGTCGAATCAACGATGTCATTGAGTCCATTTTCGTGGAAAAACGCGACACAGCCACTTCGATATTCCTGTAAAGTCATATTTCTAGTTCCTTGCTCAAAAGAGATAACAGTGAGTATGTAGTACTTCAATAAACAATATAGACAGATATGTTTTGAAAATATATTAGAAAACCTTCCTAAACGTATTTAGAGAAAATAGTACAAAAAAGTACCAAATATACACTTTTGTTTTAAAGAAGTAATGTTAAAAAATTGACGCGTCCCTTTCAATTTCCAGCAGAATCACGGCAAATTG